TTCCTAAGATCTGAACTCTCAAGGGTTCATAAGTAGGGTTTAGACCCAACAAGACGCAAAAACCCGCTGTTGAGAAACCAGTTTCTTATAGGCCTTAGCATCATCATCATGTTTCCATTCTATAGCCTGATAGTGATCCAATTCTTTCCACACTGAAGTAAGGGCTGAATAATAGGCAGACAAACTACGATTCCCCTATTTACAGGTCGAGGATTCAGCTTGCAACTGGTAAATCTTGGCATAATGCCTTTGCTCAGAAAAGGTGGTTTTGGCCTGTTCCCAAATCTCACTAGCGGTGTCTGCCCAGATAAAGTTCTTCTTCACATCAAGTTCCATGGCTACAAGGAGCCAAGACATCACCATACTGTTTTCTTGGTACCACCTATCATGTTCAGCTGTCTCACTCTTGGGTTCTTTTACTCTTCCATTTATGTAACCAATTTTTCCCCTTGCTGTTACATAAAGTTTTACACTTTTAGCCCACTCCAGGTAGTTTAGACCATTTAAAGGGGTAATGGGCATGGGAAACATCATGTTTTCACCTCCCATACCAGTTGTGGTACGGGTTGGTGTAACCCCCGAAGAAGCTAAATCATAGTTTGCCATTGAGGGAGAGAGTCTACACTACAAGAACCAAAATCACAAGTGTACCAGACCAAATCCCACACAACTACACAACAGCCACAATCAGAATACTAAACCCCCAAGAAATTTACTTCTGGAATAAGAGGAAAAAAAAAAGCTGTTGAAATCAACCCAATAATGGTTCGGCCATTAAAACAACTTAGTAATCAGTCCAGCAACCAGCCATTAGAATAGTATACTAGCAGTTCGACTACAGTACATGCTTACTAACAGTCCAGCATCTAAACGAAGGTGTAAAACAAAAAAATAAAGCCTTCACACCATTGGCCACAGAAAAAACACAAGAACACATACCCTGTCTAGCACCTGTATGAAGGTGCAAACCCAAAAATTAATTTTCACAGCACCGAACAAAGAGAAGGGAGTCTTTATTGCATCACCCTTCTTCTGCTAGGGTTTCCTTGGTGTTATGATCAAGGAAGAACCCAAAGGAAGTAGCCGCAAGTGGCTTGACCAGTTCGGTTAGGTTTCTCTGTCTTCCATGTCCAAGAAATCAAAGAAAAAAAAAGGAACTGAGAATAGCCCAGAATGCTAGGTTCAGATGAGAGAAACAGTTTTTTCTTTTTATAGCCCAGAATGATGCTTTGATACCATGTAATCATTCATGGCGAGAGAGAGAGACGAGAGAGAGAGAGAGCAGAGAAGAGAGAAGAGAGGAGAAGAGGAAGATACGAGTGAGAGTCTCAAAACTATATCTGGCGGCAGCCAGTTTGTTTATTTAGATTAACTTAATATAAAGGAATGAGAAATTACAAGTATGCCCCTGGTGGCACTCCCTAGTAACAAGCTAATAAAAAAGAAAGAAACTAACTGGCTGACAGCATCTTAAGCTGACAGCACACTAACAGCAACTGTAAAATAACAATTAAATAATCCTCACAACAAGGGTGACTAAAATAAAAGGGAAAAAGACCCATGTGCCCCTGCTGTAAATAAAGTACAATAACAGCAAATAAAAAAGACTTTAAACCTACCAAACGGACCCTAACGAGATAGATAATAATAAACAAGAAATAAAATAAACTATTTCAACAGAACCAATGTGCATGAAGAAGTATTGGGGGACATGGAACGTTACTTGGGATGTGAAAAAGGAAATTGGCCGATCAAGTACTTAGGGTTACCACTTCATGACAACCCCAACTCTTTGAGTTTTTGGAATCCAGGGGTAGAAAAGTGTGGTGGTTGGAACCAATGTCTTAAGCTCCTTTTTCTTGCAAAGAAATTTAAAAATGATACTTACTAGCGACTACTAATCAATTGTTTATATGAAATTATTAGTTGCTCATTTGTATTACAGTTATTTTATTATCTCTTGTATTATTGTGCTTAGTTGATGCCATTGTCAGTGGTTCGCAATGTTCTCCTTGTCTGTTACAGTGAGCTTGGGGGGGGGGGGGGTTGTTCATAGTGACTTCTGATCTGCCACTTCTAACTCATTAGCCACATTCAGCTTCTGAGGGTTATCTGAATCAGAATGGGAAGTACCTCTAGAAATCATGCTGCCAGCCTGCCACCCCTCCACATGTGTGCAGTTCATCTAGTCTCCTTTCGGCTTTTGGCTGTAGGTAAAATGAAAGAGAATGAATTCCTGGAAGTTGCTATTTTACAGTGTCTGGTTTCATCTAAAATGGCCATGGATAACAGAACTTTTCCAACAAGTGAGTAGGTGTAGAAACTAGGACCATGGTGCGGTGGTCCTATTGTTTTCCAAGTTAAATCAAACATCAGGAAAGTTGATAAAATAATTCGCTTTGCCACTGAATATCATTTTGAAGGAAACCATTTGTTTTCCTCTGTATTACATGTGGCCAAATGCAGCCTAAGTTGAATATGGATGTGGTTAGAAGGGTCTGTTATAATCATTAGTTCAACTGTTCTTTTCATTGCTAGCCGAAGACAGATCCTGTCAGAGGGTCCTTTAATCTCTACAACCTTTGCAGTCAGGTGGAACAAGGTTGAACCAACTCTTGACTTCGTATCTAGTCATCAATTGGGTCACTTTTGACTTCATAGTTAGGTGTATCTACGGTTGTGGCTTGCTGAAGTAATCAAATAACACAAATCTTGTAGTTAATTGTATTATCCATTGGGTTCTATTTGCAAATTTTTCCTTTCATAAACCATTAAGGCTCAGTTCGGGAAGTTTTAACTACGTTGTGCTGGATTATCAACCGAGAATTGGATCTGTTGTAAGGAAAAATAACACAATTTTCCTTTCCACTAAATATAATTACGTTGTGCTGATCGTTGAAGTTTTAATTTTTTTTGTCTGCCATTAGGGAAGAGTTTGAGACAGTCCAAACTTTTGCTTCTGGATTATCAACCGAGAATTGGATCTGTTGTAAGATTGAAATGGTAAACCGGCAGGCTGCTCCAGTTATCGTTCTTTTGTTCAAGAAGTAAAGCTCCATTCATTTATTTGTTTACCTTTTTAGTCCAAGGTCTATAACTAGATTCATGTATAAAGAATCGCAATGCAAGTTTTACTATCGTCTATTTTGGCTATTACAAGTTCTGTTTCAGTTTTACTATCGAAATTGTTGTCTTAGTGGAAGTACTTCACTGCTGGGACCTATATTAATTTTTTGGATGCTAAGGGCTTGGGTAGCCAAAGCCTGACCCAACCCAACTTGAGCTCACTCCAATTCAAGTCTTACCGAACAAAATGCATACATACATGCATTATATATTTGTATAAGAATATCTTTTTCAAATTATATATACATGTACATAGGAGCAACCATTTTCAGCCCACCCTAGCTAAAAAATTCTGGGATTGTTTAAGCTTGGTCACAGGCTCACTCAAGATGGGCCCAAACCTAAGCTATCCCTTATCACAAGTGCAAAGCCCGACCGGGTGCAGGAAAATTACATTTATAAATAGAATTTGTGAATATTTTGAATTTATTGATTTTACTGTAATGTTGGGCCATAAAGCCCAAGATGTTTAAATAAAATTATATCAATGCATTCTTAAACCTGTTGATCATACCTAACTCGAGCCCAAGCCCAGACCTATCTCAAAATTCGGTTGGTTTAAGCTAGTTCAATTTGGGCCTACATTAAACCTAAATTTGAGGTTTGAACCTTTAGGATTGGGCCTTGATTTACTTTCAAGTGACCCATATTTTGTATAAGATTCCCCTGATACACACACACAGGACATCTGTTGCCAAAACATACACAATAGAATTTATCACCAATGAGGAATTAATACATCAATATTCTATGCATATGGGACTCACACCTTGTGTATGATACATCTATTACTATATTATATAGCGATTAAGTTCACAAGAACAACTCTCTCTCCCATTCCCCCTTCTCTCATTTGTCATTAAACCTCTCTTCTTTCTCCCTTACCCTTTTCTAGTGGCGTGAGACCCAAACATTGATCTACCCATTCTTTGTTATAAGGTCTGGCTGAATTCATTGTATGAGACAATGAATTCCTGAGTCCACCATGGGCTCTTAATGGGCCTAACATTTACATTAAATGGTCTTTGGGTCCAATCACCTTATGAAAACCCAAGGACTGTGGGGAGATGCAAGACTAGTCCATCAGGTATTACCCTCAATGGTCTTATACTTAACCTCTCAGTCCATAATGATCAAACACTACCCGACAAGAGATGGCCTCTCCCCTTCGGCTGCAAGAAACAGTGCTGCACTCTTTACTCACATGGATCTTGGGAATTAAAACATTTTTGCAAACATTTTGAAACCATAATATATATAATTATATCTTATATAAATATATTTTGCAAAACAAATTTCAACAGTTGAAATCAATTGCCGACAGTTTAGGTTTCCATTAGAGAGTGCATTCCCCGATCATTCACTTTGTTTGACAAAGGGGATGATCCTGTCACTATGATCACCCACTTAGATGAATTATTGGACTGTCCCAACATACCTAGGTTTTGAGCCCCTCTAAGGATCTCGCTGATTGGCATATCAAAGACAGTCCAATACAAAACCTACTACAATACCATAATTGAGTCTAGGGGTCAGGTGTAACATTCCAATTTTGCCCATCTATCTTCATGGTCTAGGGCAATACTAGAATTTTGGTTCGGTTCAGGGTTTCAAGAAAACCCACACTACATGTACCTTAGGTCTCACCCTAGCAGGTGTGACAAGCGACCCCAACTAACTTGGCGGTACATCAGTGTCAGGCTTGGCAGGATAAATCTCCCCAAATCTATCCAACGGTTGTGAAGATTCTAAACTACTACGAGTCTCATAAATGTCCTGTTTAAGGGTATTGCACAGAAACAAACCATAATAACATGAATCAAATATGTACTTTATTCATTTACATTAAATGTCATAATGTACATCATTCTGATTTGAGCTAAGGGCATACACTGTCTAATAACTCCCACTTGCACTTAGGTCCAATTGGGTACAAGCTAGATCCCATACTTTTCACGTGTTTTTCAAACACTTTCTGTGTGAGTGGCTTAGTTAATGGGTCTGCTACATTCTCCGTTGACGCTACTTTCTGAATCAGAACATCCCCTCTACCAATTATCTCCTACAATACATGGTACTTCCTCTCGATGTGCTTCGACTTCGAGTGAGCTCGTGGCTCTTTAGCCTGAACTATATCTCAATTGTTGTCACACAACATTGGAATGAGTGATGTGCTGGACGGAATAACTCCTAATTCCTGAATGAACTTCTTCATTTAGACGATTTCTTTAGCAGTTTCACTTGCGGAAGTGTATTCGACTTCGGTTGTGGAATCTACGGTGGGACCTTGTTTTCTGCTTTTCCAGCTAATTACATAGGCCCCCATCGTAAAGATGTACCAAGATGTAAATTCTCTATCATCTGGATCTGACTGAAAATCGACATTAGTATACCCTTGGATCTGTAGTGAACTACCATCGAATACCAAACAAAACTCTTATGTTCTTCGAAGGTATTTTAGTATGTTTTTCATAGCTGTCTAGTATTCCTGTCCTAAGTTAGAATGATATCTACTTACCGCACTCACTACCTAAGCAATGCAAGGATGAGTGCAYAGCATGACATACATGATGCTCCCTACGGTTGAGGCATAGGGAATCTCCTTCATGCCCTCAATCTCTTCGGGAGTCTTGGGAGACATACCCTTGGAGAGAGTGACTCCGTACCTGAATGGAACATTTCCTATCTTAGAGTTCTCCATACTGTATCTCTTGACAATTTTGTCAATGTAAGTAGATTGGGATAATATTATTATCATTTTCGATCTATCTCTATAGAGTCGAAGTCCCAAGATATATGTAACTTCTCTAAGATCTTTCATGGAGAATTGCTATGAAAGCCACACTTTCACCATAGTTAACATTCCTACATCATTCCCAATGAGTAAAATGTCATATACATATAGAACCAGGAATGTAACCTTATTCCCACTGGTTTTCTTATAAATACAGGGCTTATCCAGATTTTGCTCAAAGTCAAACTATTTAACGATAGAGTCAAACCGAATGTTTCAACTCCTAGAAGTCTGTTTCAGTCCATATATGAATCGGTTAAGTTTGCATACCATGTGTTCCTGACCTGCAGCAATGAATCATTGCGGTTGCTACATTTAGATATCTTTAGTAAGATTTTCATTCAAGAACGCGGTTTTGACATCCATTTGCCAAATCATGTAGTTATGGTATGTTGCTATAGGTAGCAAGATCCTAATAGACTTTAGCATATCCACCAGCGAAAAGGTTTTCTCATAGTCGATTCCCTCTTTTTGAATGTACCATTTCGCCACAAGACGAGTTTTATAGGTATCAATGTTACCATCTAGTCCATTCTTCCTCTTGTAAATCCACTTGTAACCAATTGCTTTCACCTAGAGGGTGGGTCCACAAGAGTTCATACATTGTTGGTCTCTATCGAGTCCATCTCGACTTTCATCTACCCACTTCAGGGAATCTATGTCCAACATAGCTTCCGCATAAGTCGTGGGATCCTTCTCACTTGTCGTGGCTTCCACAAAATAACTTTCTTGGTCATAGCCGTAATGAGCTGGAGGCCTGGATTAGACAGTTTTGTATGCCCTTAGCTTCAATCAGTTTTGATGTACTTTTGACATTTAGTGTAACTGAATAAAGTGCATGTTTGATTCATGCTGTGTGGTACGTTTCTGTGTAAGACCCTTAAACTGGACACTTAATGAGACTCGTGTTAGTTTAGAATGTTCACAGCTGTTGGATAAGTCTGGGGAGGTTTATCCTGCCAAGGCTGACACTACTATGCTGCCAAGTGTTGGGGCGGCCTGTCTCAGCTGCTAGGGTGAGACCCAAAGCACATGCAATGTAGGATTACTTGAATCTTTGAACCAGACCAGATTTCCAGTATTGCCCTGGACCTTGGTGATTGATGGGCAAAACTGAAAAGTTACACCTGACCCCTAGACTCGATTATGATACTGCACTAGGTGTCGGATTGGGCTGTCTTTGATATGCCAATCAATGAGAT